AGATGCAGATTTCAGATTCGACCCTCAGATTCTCTTTGACAACTCCAACTTCCCAAACATAGGCTTTTCAAGCATGGATCTGTTCGAAAACCACCTGTCAAAGCAGGATCCCTGATGAGGAAGTCGCTCAATTTTTCAGACTCCAGTGATCCTTGCCAAAAAAACACAACACAAAACAATAGGTGGCGGTTGCTGAAAAGAACGGATTTCCTTCAAGGCAAAAGGCCGCGGCGGTTGTAGCATTCTGGAGTTGGGAGGACATCTCGTCCCCTGGTTTGAGCGGTGGCTGCATTGCCTTTGGTTTGCAAGTATCAAAGGGTGAGCTTCCACAAGCGAAGTGTAATATACCTCCACGTTTGCACACTTGGAATCCTCGCTGTGTTATAACTAGTTATCTTGGTTAACATGAGTTAAGCATTTTTTTACAACTAGTTAGGTGGAGTTAGCTAACTAGATATAACTAGTTATAAGTGTGCTTTTCGGTGTGGTTTTCCTGGCACATATTCAGTGTAAACACATGGCCGGGAAAGGGCTTAAGTATGGGAACGCTCTAGAAATGGGCTGGCCAAAAAGGCTTTCTCATGGATTATCATGCCGAAAGTATAGCTGGCCATATAGGCAGTGTAATGGATGTCCTATTGAAAAAAGGATGGCCATGTCATGGTCTAAACTGTTTCAAATACACCAGCCATGAAGGCATGAGCTGAGATTCTAAACCCTAAATTCCCAAGAACCCTTTCGGGTGAAGCATCATTGTTTCACAGACTGCTGTATAGCTGGTACGGGATGAGCACTGTGGCCTCTTGGTCTGATCCTTTGCTATACAGCAGTGGGTACTGGATGGAATCGATGGGAACGAAGCCTTGCTCGTTCGTGATGGTGCATTTCGCAGAGTGGGATGCTTTGTCCACCGTGGGAGTCCACCGTTGGAGAAGTGTGAGCTTCTGTGCACCCAATTCCAAATGGAGGCAGACTTGGCCGAGTTCCCAACGTCCGTCTTGCTGGTGGAAGACCACCACGTCGTGGGCATGAATGGTGCCACCTCTGGCGAGCTTCGCACTCGAAGCAACCATGGCTTCATTTGCTGGGCCATCCACAAAATGGCGGAGGACTTGGAGTTGCTGCTTGGTGGCTTTCTTTGGCTTTATGAGCTGGCAGCTGTCCGGAAACAAACCTGGCTCCTTCAGAGTGGTGATCTCCATGGCCACGACCTGCTGCATCAAATGGCTTTCGAAAGCAGTTGTCTTCTGCAAATTGGTGGCATACTTGCCAATTGTCTTGTGCTTCCGCTCTGTGGTGAATGTGGATGGCAATGTCCCATGTCTCTGCAAGAAATCTGCCAGATGGAGTAGCCAATGCCATTTCTTCATCAATGGGACCCCGAAGTCGGCCTCCTGGAAGCTCTCGATGGCAAACTCCGCAGCTGGCAGCAGGCTGGCCCTGGTTGTGGCCCCATACATGGTTCCTTGGTGCACCTGGTCAAGCAGATCTGCGTGGGCCAAGAAGGCCTGGCAGGCTTTGGGGCAGCCGCCCGCCGGAATAATGATGGTGTGGAGATAATGCCGCACAATGGGGGATATGCTCAAGAGGTCGCTGGCCTGGCAGGAGAACTTATTGCTTGCCTGGTGTTTGGTCACCATCTTGTTGGAAAACAAGGCTGGTAGGTGCCCTGCTTTCGAAGCCCCTGGACAGGACCAGAGCTGGACATATTTTTCCATGGAAGCCCAAGCACTGTAACCCAGTGCACTGCCAATGGTCTGCATGGTTTGGAAGAGGACGACAGGGCCAGTGCCTTGCAAGATCCCATGCATCCAATCGTGGCAAAACTGGCTCACTGGTCGGATCTGGCCTCTGGACAACAGTGGCTGGTGTAACAGAAGGGCATGGGCATTCCACGTCCACCCTGCGGCCTGCTGCCAGTGGCTGAAGTCCGCCTTGCTGCATGTTCTCTGGCGTTGGTCCAAGCGATGGTAGGATTGGATGACGTCATCGTCGGTGGTTAACTTCAGTTGGTGGTATTTGGCCGTCCCATGGTCAATGACATCCTCGCCTGGAGTCATGGTTGCTGCTGAGTGCACATTGGCACAGAGCAAGCAGAATTTGGTTCCTGCATCCCCCTTGGAGGCCCACACCTGTTTGTGGGCGGCTCCATCCGCCAAGCAAATCCCCCAAATGAAATGGAGACGAATGTTGGGTCCACATGGGCTTTTCAAGAGCAGGCCGCCTCGTGGTTCTGCAATGGGGCTGCAAAATATGGCCTCCAGGACCTTCGCAAAAATCTGGCCGATCCCCCCAGGCAGTTGGGCCACGAATGTGGAGCGTTCTAGGCTGATGGTAAGCCAGACGTCCTCATGGGACAACGCCTCCTGGCCTAGCTCGTGGAACGTGCCGTAAATCGCCCAGAGCTTGCGCTCAGCACGACCTAAGACGTTACCAGGCACCAGCTCATCGCAGTACAGCATCAGCGACCATGGCTTGTCGACCGAAGATGGATTGGACTGGTGTTTCCTCTGGACCAGATCATGGAAGCTGCCACCCAGGTGGAAAAGACTGGTGATATAGACCAAAAGATTCGCAAAATGGATGGTCACTGTGGCACCGTCGCTGATGGGCAGTTCTGCTTGCTGGATCAAAGGTCCCATGGGGCCGCCGTGGCAGCACTCAAGAAGCTGCTGCCGTGCCTTTCGCTGGTCGTTGGAAGAACTGGCTTCCGGGAGGCCCTGCTCTTTCGTGGCTTGGACGAAGGCCGCCAAAGCACTTTGAGAATGCCCTGGCAAGCTGGCCTTGAACTTCAGAAGGTGTTGAAGTTTGGCTTTCTTCTTGGAGGACTCCATGGTCACCACGGGCTTCAGGACAGTGGCTCTTATGGATCTACTATATACCTAATTGATCTGCTCTGCACGTTCTCACTTGGAAGCCTTCAAGCGGGCCACAGTAGCTGTGGACGTGATTCTATTCCGGGCACCATGCTCTCTATATGCATTGCCTCTGGTGCTTCTTGCTGGGAGCAACAAGTCTGCAGGATGAAAGTCATGCGATATCAAAAAGCACAGGGGCATGCTCAGAGCTGTCAGGACAGACATCAATATGGCATTTGTCGCCTGCTAGCCAGAAACCTTGCAAGCCATGGAGGCGTCGCAAATGGAAACATGGGTCTTGCACCCTTCTCACGACTTTCTGTTACATATAGACAGCTGCTACATATGTGAAGTTCAACACATGCAAAAACATCTTGAAGCAAAAAGAAGAAGTGGGCAGCCACTCAGGCATTCATATTTATATCCTGCATAGAACATTGCACACATGCAAAAATCATGCTAGATGCATATATATATATATTCATCATATGAATATATATATATACATATATATATATATTCATTCATACGTTCGAAGAAAACCAAAAGTTCTTGGAGCAGCCAAAAAACCGCAACAGAATATATATATAGAGAGAGAGACATAGAGAGAGAGAGAGAGAGAGAGAGAGAGAGAGAGCGAGAGAGAGAGAGAGAAAGAGAGAGAGAGAGAGAGAGAGAGAGAGAGAGAGAGAGAGAGAGAGAGAGAGAGAGAGAGAGAGAGAGAGAAAGGGAGAGAGACAGACGTTCGGATATACAGCTGCTTTAAGCATGTACATCTGTGTCTCTATACAGAGACACTATAGAAAGAGAGAGAGAGAGAGAGAGAGAGAGAGAGAGAGAGAGAGAGAGAGAGAGAGAGAGACAAGAGAGAGAGAGAGAGAGAGAGATAGAGAGAGTGAGAGAGAGAGAGAGAGAGAGAGAGCCAGAAGGTAGGAAAAGAGAAGCACGACAGAGAGAGTGCGATCGAAAAAAAAAAGGAAGAGAAGCAGTCGTCTCGAGAATAAGACTGAGAAAGAAAGAGAGACGGAGGGAGAGAGAGAGAGATGAATTAATTGCAAAGCAAACAACTTGGGAGAATCTTTTGCCCCCACTGCAAGCCCCGTGTCGAAGTCCCCGGATCTGGTCGGCCAAAATGGCAAATTATGGTGAGACTGGTTGTCTCCGCAAGTGGCCCTGGAACTGGTCGGACTCATGGACTCACTGGGCCATCATGGCTCGCCGGGCCATATGGGCCCTATAGGCCTCACGGCCTGGAAGTCTGAAGCCTTGGTAATTGGGATCCAGACATTGCCCGCACCCGTTAGGGTTGCCTCGGCACTTGGGGCACCCATACACGGGTGGCTTCCGCTTGTGCGGCGGAGTTGTCTGGGCCGTGACCTTGGGCACCGGCTTGGCCTTGGCGGTCGCTGTTGCCTTGGGAGTCTCCTGAGGCTTGGCAGTGGCCTTGGCCTTGGCCTTGGCCTTGGCCTTGGCCTTGGCCTTCGCTTTGGCTTTTGCCTTTGGCTCGCCCTTGGCTTTGGCGTGGCGCTTCTTCTTCTTGATTTCCAGGAATGTCTGGGCCTCAAAGTCCTCCAAGGTCTTTGGCTGGGAACTTGGCTTCTCCGTAGACACTTCTGGACTTGTGGCGAGCAAAGGCTGCGCTGCTGCTTGGCTGCCTGGCTGGGCCGTAGCGGAAGTCGGGGCCGCTGGCTGCTGCAGTGCCGCTGGCTGCAGTGGTGCTTGCTTCTGCTGCAAGGACGGCTCCTGCTGCAGCGGTGCTTGCTGCAGTGGTGCTTGCTGCAGCTGCAGTGCCTGCTGCTGCACTGCTTGTTCCTGCTGCTGTAGCAGCGGCGATGGCTGCTGCAGTGGTTGCTGCTGCGGTGTTGGCAGGTTCTGCAGCGCCAGCCGGTCCTGACGAGGATGCAACAAGGTGACTTGTGGCTCTGGCTTTGGAGTATTCCATCGCTCCGCCAGCTGGGTCAGCAGACGGGCAGCTTCTCCTTGGAACGGCCGGACTGCCCGCTCTGCAGCAAAGAATGGTTTTTCCGCATGGGTACCTTTCTGAACCAGGCATGCAGTGGAAGAATCCGAGCGGCTGGGGTGGTGCCCTCGGTATAGGCTTGGCTCAACCATGAAGGCCATTCTGTTGCGGATACTCCGCATATACTGCCAAACCCAGCACACCCTCAATCTTGGGTGTGCCATGGAAGATGGCAGAGAAATCCTCCACCATGGCATGCACAGCTCTGGGGTGCATCTCCGGCTTCCCTTGGCTGTGCTGCACATACAACAGAGTGGCCAACACCTGATGGGTGGTGTTTTCTTTGAGGGATGTAAGCCCCATGGCCCTGAGCCGCTTGGCAATGATGGACATCTGATCGTCTTTCGATGTGGCGGCTTCCACAGACGACCAATCCTGCTGGGTGAGGTAGGCTGGAACATGAACAACTCGTTGGCCACTGCAGGATAGCTTCATGTGGGAAGCTTCGTTGCTCTGGAGCTGCTCGACTGCCTCCTGGATGCTGTCCTTGATGGCTTCTGGCAGCTCACAGCTTTGGACCTCACCGAGCAATTCGACGATGGCGGCCGACGTCCAATGCTTGGCTGCACGGATCCTTTCAACGAACGTGGCAGCCATGGTAGTCACGACCATGCTCCCTGGCCGCATCTTGGCCAGTTGGCCAAGATGCCGAAGTTCCGAAATGAAATCAGAAATGCTCCACACATGGGACATGGCAGCACGTGTGGCAGACAAATGGAAATGGGGGCGGAAGAAACACGTGCCGGCCACAATGGCTGCGAGGGTGGCAAAGAAAGCACATACATACACAGATACACATGCAGAGAGAAGACATATATTGTACATATATGTATGTATATAGACATAGATATGTATATATATATATATGTATGTCTAGCTGTGTATGTATTGGTGGACAGCAAGAGAAACCCATATGCATAGGAAAAAAAGGATTCTTGATTGTACACAAATACATTGTGCAAGCCAAACTTGCCTGGATGTATGGCAAAAAACGTGAAGCTCTAACATGTGTAAACGTAGAGACACATATATGTATATACCATGTAAAATAATCGTACATTGAGAAAATACCAAGTAGTATACAAACAAACAATCTAGCTACAAAAATTGTAGTTGAAACACAAAATTAACATATATATATATATATATACATGCATGGGTATACACATATATATGTATATAGATAGACGTAAACAATCTCAAAGATATCTTTTTTGAAATGTCTTTGTAGATAACTGAATATAAGCAAGAAGATATATATATATATTAACATCTATATGTGTATCCATTGGTATACAGAAAAAATAGAATACCCTTGGCTAGCCACGGGGCTTTATTGTGTTGTTGGTGCTGGCCACAACAATGGCGAATACAATACACGGACAAGGTGCATGCATGGCTGAATGCCGGACCCCTGGTGTTTTACTGGAGCTGCCTGAACCGGTCTGGCTGGCGTGGGTCATGGCCGTGCTCCTCCACCACCATGGAGTGCTCAGCCAAGTACTGGGCCATCTGGGTTTCTTTGGAGTACCTTGATGGAGAGTGCTGGGGCGGCGGGAAAAAACAACTTTACTGGGTTTCCTGGCATCTAGGCCTATGCCTAGAAACACTACAGAGGCTTTCCCATCTATATTATATGTGAGCTTTGATGTATAAAGAAAGAAAGATCCGGAGCTATATGGTTTCTGGAAAAAATCATTGGCTCCATGGGGCCAGTCCAGGAGCCGTTGGCATCGCTGGAAGTTCTGGTTCTGGTAGTGCTCGCAGAACCACCATGTCTTCTGGGCCCAAGTGGGCTTCCCAGCCACCCAAAATGGCGGGTCTTGCTGGCGGAGCTCTTCCATGTATGTGGTGGACATGGAGAGACATTGGCTCCATTGGGCAGCTTGATAATTTGCTAACAGCCAGCAACACTTGTTCTTCCACCCAGTGGCCCGGAACGGCATGTCCACCCGCCGCTCCGGGCCACTGGGTGGAGCAGCAGCGGCTGGTGCTGGTTGGGCGCGCTTTGGCGCTGTTTGTCGTTCCTGCCATCCGGGTGGTGGGTGGATTGGTTCTTGTGGCTGGAGCTTGGGCGGCGGTCCTTGGAAAGCCCATGGGTCTTGGGAGGAGCTGGGCTCCTGCTGTGGTGCCCGTGCTTTGGGCTCCTCTGCTGCCGCTGCTTTGGCCTGTGTGGTGGGCTCCTGCTGTGGTGCCGGTGCTTTGCGCTCCTCCTGTGCTGCCGCTGCTTTGGCGTGCCTGGAAGGTGGCGGCACGACCCGTGCTGCCGCTGCTTTGGCCTGCCTGGAAGGTGGCGGCACGACTTTGGGGCGGACTGCTTGGGCTCGGAATGCGGCTGGGATGTTGGAGCCCTTGCCTTTGCCCTCAAAAACTTGGGCTTTGCTGATGGGGCCCAGTGGTGGATTGGTTCTCCTGCCTGTGGCTGTGGTGTTGCCTGTCCTGCTGCTGCTGTGGTGGTGGTGGCAGTGGTGCCGCTTCTCGCCGCCAGGGTGGCTGGGCTTCGGCTGTTGGTGCTGTTTGCTCGGCTGGCTGGGATGGCTGCTGTTGGTTTTCCTTGATTTGGGCTGCTGGGCTGGCTGCCCTCTGCTTTGGCAACTCATTGCCTTGCTGTTGCGTTGGTGGTGCTGCCTGTGCACATGGGCCTTCTTGCCATGCTTGCGGGTTTGGCTGCTGTGGCATTGCTGTTGCTGTAGTGGCTGCTGCCGCGGCAAAAACCCATATGGTCCAGTCATGGGCTCCATGGAAGGCACCACCATTGGTGGGAACAAAAGCGGAGCCGTGGTTCCGGGTGGCTGCAAAGTGGGCCCAGGTTGCGGTGCCGTGGGTCCAAGTGACAGGAACGGCGGCATGGGTCCACGCGGCACCAAAGGTGGTGCTAATGGTGGTGGTGCCATTGGCCCATATGGTAGCGGCCCATAGTAAGGTTGCGGCAATGGTAGAAACGCTGGAGCAGCTGGCCGACACCAGTCGGATGGACATGGCCACGGAAATGATGGTCGCTGCTCATGTGTGGTTCCAGTCCTGGGCTTCGCCTTGGGCCGCTCACATGGGATCACGGTCACATTGGAGCCATCGCTCCTGGGACTCTGAGGGTTGCTGGGCGGACTGGTCGGAACGATGGTTTCGTTATCATCCTCGTCCATGGCGGAGGGTGAAACAGACTCGAAATTGCAGGTGTGTGGACTTATGGGCGAATACTTAACACTATATTCCTCAACAATAGTAAGCACACTTGGGATAGTAATTACAATCCCAAGTGCAGACGTGTGGCACTTGGGATCGTAATTGCAATCCCAAGTGTAACCATCTAGCACTTGGGATTGCAAATGCAATCCCAAGTGCCGAACTCTAGTACCCGGGGTTGCATTTGCAATCATATATGTTTGGGACATGTGTTTGTGTTCATGGTGTGTGGATGCTGCTTCGTGCCTCAATGATCCACTGGTGTGGGCGAGCGCGGGATACAAAATGAATCCATTCATGGGCTGCAATGACTGCTATACTCGTGACTCTGTCGTGGCAGCTGGCACATGCACTTCTGTACATGTTGGACGCCCAAGGCTTGGCTCAATGATGCATCTTATGGGTTGGGGCCTGTTAGGTTCTGGGGTGAATGGCTGGCTGGCCATGATGGCTCTCCTAAAAAAATATATGTGGATAAACAAAAACAAGCTGGCCATGATAGCTTTCGATATATGGATACAAACAAAAACAAGCTGGCCAGGACGGCTCTTCAATATATGGATTACAAAAAAAACAAGCTGGCCATGATGGCTTTCGATGAAAATCCTAGCCATCCTAGCAATTGGTGCTAGCCATTCTGGCAAAGAGTGTGTATAAGTACCAGTTGACTTGTGTGTATATATTTATATATATTGGTTCATTTATATATATATATGTATATATCTATATACATATATATATATATCTTACTGGAACTTTGACTATATCGCTATGTTCTAGGAAAGCTACAGAGAGGTTTCTATGTATATATATAGATATATGTGTGTATGTATGTATATGTGTGTATATGTATATGTGTACATGTATAGGGCTTATACGGGTTGATAAGGGTTTATAGAGTTTATAGGGATTTAGGGTTTAGGAGGTTTATAAGGGTTTATAGACTTTATAGGGACTTAAGGCTATAAGGGGTTTATAAGGGTTTATCGAGTTTATAGGATACAAACAAACAACCAACACCTATGAAAACCTCGGTACTCATGCTTTTGTCACTGTGCACACCAAACAAGCTCTATACAATCTTATTTCATGTGTACCTGAAAACTATAAGCCGGAAACTCTCTAGCGAAGAACCCAGACACAGAAACACACACAAATTTTCTCGGTCCAAGCATCGATGGAAGATGCTAGTGCTCACATGGAAGAGTGGCCGCCATGGCATGGGCTCAGGTGGATGCCAGGTCCTCCTGGAAGACGTCGTCGTGGAACTCGTCCTGGGCATCCGTGGGCTCCTCCGGGTCGTGGGCATCCGTGGGCTGCTCCGGGTCGTGGGCTTCGGTGGCCTCAAAGGGCTGTTCGTACAAGAGGGCCCACAGTGGCCAAGTTGGGTCAGGCTCCTCCTCATCGTTGTCAGATGGGCTTTGGGTGTGCGGTGGCTGTGGGTCAGCATATGGTGGCTGCAACCTCAACCCCATGGGCATGCTCTGGAGCCAACTTTGCCCACAGCTGGGGCACCGCCTTGCCTGGGCTAAACATTTCAGGTCTAGCCCTGTGGCCATGCATCTGGTGCACTGTAGCCAGCACCAGTGCCCCACCAGTGCATCATATCTGGGTACTGGTAGTTGGGGACAACCTCTGGCCCTGGAGCATACCAAATCATGCCTTCCGAGCTTTGGATGGGAAGGCCTGGTGGGACAGTCCACCCTGTCGCATGGGCGAGGTGGCTGTCCCAACTCCCCGGAAGAAGTGGACTCCCAGCAGCTGGAGTCCCATGGCCTCCAGGGCCTCCACCTGCAAGCCAAGCCCTCACTGGTGGTGGAGCTTTGCTTGGCACAGCTGGTGGTGCCTTGCTCTTGGCGGCTGCAGCCATGGTTTGGCTGCGAGCAAAAGAAGAGCAGGCCAGAGGGGCGCTTGAGTTCTTGTGGCAGCAAAACTCGGCAACATGAAACTGCCACGGAAAATACAACAGCATAAACAGAATTAACAAAGTAATGTATGTATGCATGTACGTATATGCACGTATATATATATATATATATGTCTCTGTGTACGCATATAGGTGTGTCTCTATGTGTGTACATCGGTACGTATTTGTCGTATGTATAGGTTCAAGTTCATATACATGTATATAACTATATATACACATATGTGTGCATAAACAGTATTTGAGAAGTATGCATGTGTGTATGTATGTATGTATGTATGTATGTATGTATGTATGTATGTATGTATGTATGTGTGTATATATATATATATATGCATGTGTATATATATACACATATATATTTTATTATACCCTATAAACCCTAAGCCCCTAACCCCTTAAAAAAACAAGCCTAACCCCTAAACCCTAAAAATATATCTCTATCTGCAAATATACAGACATGCACATGAAAAAATGGCTAGCCATAAAAGGCGAAACCCTGGCAGAGATTGTGGCAAGCTTTGGTTAACTGGGCTTGGAGGCTTGGGGTCTTTGGTTTGGAGTCCTGCAGCCTGTTGGAATCTCGCTGGGCCTTCTGGCTTCGGAAGAGGACCCCTTCTTTTTTTCTCACCTCTCCTTCAAGCTTCGCGATCATCGCCAGCCAAAGTGGTAGCCATGGTCCACATAGCTGGACCACCAGCTCTTCCCACAGTGGGCGCAAGCCACTTTGGAATAAAGCCGGTGCATGAAGATCCAGGAATTGCACCCCTGGGCGGTACACCCAAGGAACAGGTGCCCCGCCCAGGGGTGCTCGCCAGGCTCGTCCTGGGTCGGCGGCTTGGTCTTGTCCTTGGCTGCCGCTGGCTTCTTGGTCGTGGCCGGTTTCTTGGAGGACTGGGCGGCCGGCTTCTTCTGGATGGCCTTCTGCACATGGCTGGTCACCTGCAGGGTCATTAAACCCTACAAAAAAAAGCAGAAGCCAAATCGAAACCATAAGCGGGCCTTGGGAGCCATGCTGGCAAGGACTTGGGTGGCGAAAGAGCTGGCCAGGTTTGGGCGCTGGAAGCTGCGACATACGCGCAAGCACTGCTTCAGGCATGTCATGCAATCTTGCCCGCTCTCTCTCTCTCTCTCTCTCTCTCTCTCTCTCTCTCTCTCTCTCTCTCTCTCTCTCTCTCTCTCCCTACATTCAAAAATTAAGCCTCCAGCCATCATGGCCAGAGCGACAAAAACACGGCCACATTGGCAATTCAGAAAGAAATTGCGCAAGCATTTTGGACTGTAAACCTTCCTTTTGGATGGTTGTTTGGCCTGGGAAAAGCTTCTGGCTTGGGGGAGGAGGCTCCATTTTTGAGTGGGATTTTTTTGACCTGAATTTTGCTGAATTTTGGCTATTTCAGATGGAAGCTGGAAGAAGTTCTGGCAGTTTAAACTGCCAAAAAAAATAATAATTAAAAAAAACAACCTTGCAGAGTATGGATTACTTTCTTGAAAAGCTTGAAAAATGATGGAAACCAGTGCAGCGGTCAGCTTGCACACATTTGCAAAACTTGTACTTTTGCCACGGTTGCACCTTCCTTTACACTTTCCATTCTTTCGCTCTTGTTTCTTTTTGCTTTCTCTTTGGTTCCCTTGCTGCTTTCTTGCTTTCTTTCCTTCTTTTCTTTGCTGCTTCTTGATGCTTCTTACCTTCCTCCCTTGCTTTCTCTTGTTGTTTCTTACCTTTCGTCCCTCACTTTCTCTTGCTGTTTCTTGTTGTTTCTCACCGTCCTTCACTTGCCTTTTTCATTGCTGTTTCTTGCCTTCTTTCCTTGCTTCTCCTTGCTGCTTCTGCCTTCCTTCGAAGCTTCCCTTGCTCTTTCTTGTGCTTCTTGCCTTTCTTGCTGTTTCTTGCCTTCCTTCCTTGCTTCTCCTTGCTGCTTCTGCCTTCCTTCGAAGCTTCCCTTGCTCTTTCTTGTGCTTCTTGCCTTTCTTTCCCTTGCTTTCCTTGCTGTTCCTTGCTTTCCTTTCCTTTGTGGTGTTGGTTTGTGTGTGTGGTGTTGGTGTGTGTGTGGTGAGTGTGGGGGTGTGTGTGGGTGTGTGTGGGTGGTGTTGTGGGGTGTGTGGGTGGTGTGCTTGGTCGTGAGTGTGGGTGTGGTCGTGAGTGTGGCTTTTTCTGGACAGCCTCTGCTCTTCTGGCAAACAGCTGTTGTATAGACACTACAAATTCAATTTTACGGCTGCGTGGAAAGGCCACGTGGTACGCGCGTGCAAACTGCCCCCCCCCCCCCGCGGCGCACCCCTTAACTATGATTTCTTCTCCAGCAAAACTCTGGCGGCTCGCTTCAAAACCCGCCATGGTCTTTGGCTCTTTACAAGTGGAGCCCGCTCCCTTGGGGCTGCAGAGGCTCTTCACTTCTTGGGCTTCTTGGACGGAGGCTCCGACTGCTCTTTGGCCTTGGCCTTGTTCTTGGCTTTGGCTTTAGGGGTCGCCTCTGATGGCTCCGCCGCTCCGGATGCCTCGCCATGGTCTGCTTCGGAAGCCTCAGCATGGGCGGCCAGGAACAGCAGCTGCTGTCGCGGCTCCAGCGGAGCTGGGTTCTCCAAGCAGGGGATGGTAATCCCAGACTCGACGACCGTGGAGTACACCATGGTGACCTCGGAGGGCTCGCTGGTGGGCTTGCACCAGAAAAATGGAATCAAGCAAGCTGGGCTGTCTGCTTCGAACTGGAGATTCTGGCGGAATGGCCCAATCGTCCAGGTGTGCCCGCCATGCTCGATGAGAAGCTTGGTCTCCTTCGTGGTCGGCTTGGCTTTGTTCACCATGCCCAGTGGAACCAAACGAATTGTTTTGCGAATTGCCTTGGTCGCCAACAACCCTTGGGGGTTCTGACCGAAAGCGATGGTCTGTGCATCCAGATGGTGCCTTTCCGCCGCTTTGTGGAGAGCGAGCTGGACCTCTGACCTGGCCCGCTCCTCCAACAGAATCTTCGCCGTCATGCCTTCCCTGGCAAGTTCCTCTGGGCACAACATGGGCATGAGGGCCTTGGTGGCCTTCCACGTTGGCAGCTTCCGCAAAGGCAGCCTTCCACGTTGGCAGCTTCCGCAAAGGCACGTGGACTTCTTCCTGGTCATGGAAGAGCGGCTTGTGAGTCATGGTGGCATGGTCGTCTGTCATGTCGGTCAACTCGAAGACCTTGGCGCCGTGGTCCTTGTTGGTATACCTTAGCACTTCGTGCCATGTGCACATCAAGGAGAATACTCATATACATCGATACATGCTCATATGTATACTCTTAATAAGTGTATACATCGCCTCTGGCTTCAATCAGCAACTGCTAGCTTCCTCTCCAAGCAACAACTTGCCCAATTCCATATGATGGTTTTGGAGCATGGCTATGGTCTTGTGGCTGGCCGCCAAGACATCCGTGACCTGCATGTCCGTCTGGGTCTTGGCCTGGTCCGCACTGCTGGCATCTGCCCCCGAGGGGTCATGGATTTCCTTCGTGTAAGCAGTCAAGATGGCTTGGAGAGATAGCCAGTGGTTTTCTCCCGACTTTGCTTTTGTTTATTCGTCAGGAACAAACAAACTCTCACTGCAAATCGGCCAAAGCACTTGGTTAAGTGGGCCGAATGGTGCTGCTGGCCGCCCAGCAAACTTTGCTGGAGTTTCCATGAGTCCTGGAGCATCTCCTCAGCCTGGATCACTTGGGCAATCACCCCTGGCGACTTGAGCTTTTGGAGGTCGTTGACCGTCAGGATCCGGCTGAATCCATCTTGTGCCCTCGGCGATGTCAGCATGCAGGCCCAACAGGCAACCCTGATCATGGGAAATATGCAAGTGGCCTGGCGGAAGTCCAGCGTGGCGAGGGTGGACATAAGCTCCGTGCCGACGAGGAGAGTTGCATTGAACTGTTTGGAAAAATTGGCAAGGAAATGCAACAGTGGGAACCCTTGGGAGCCGCCGCCGAAGTTTTGGACAAATTTGGCGATGGCGGGGACACTCGCACGGCATCGCACGTCGCCTTGGCTGGCCTGCTGGATGGCATCTGGAAGAGACAAGCCCTTCTCAAAAGCAGTGGCGACATGGAGTGCCACCTCCAACTCGTTGATCGCTTTGGAGATTGAGTTGGACGAGTTGGCCGCCATCTGTATAAAGTTGGGAAGTTGTGGGATGGCTTCTTCAATGGATGCTGCCAGAACGACCCAGCACCATCCTTGCTCGATTGCTTGCCAGGCGGGGTCGGACTTCGCTGTGGAGCAGTGGTACCCCTCGGGTCCTTGGATGCCGTTTTGCAGGCAGCGGAGGAAGGCGACGCTGTGGCTCCCCGCAAGGCTGAGAAAGCCTGCCGTTGAGGGAACCCCTGCAACCACAAATCTCTATATAGCTGTATTCTCTTCAAGCACAAAAAGAAAAGCACTAAAAGCAAAGCGTGCACTACCCAGGGGCCTTCTTGGCCGGAGACTGGTGCGAGGTGCCCCTTGGCTTCCGAGACAAGTTGGCGGTTGGCCTGCACCTGGGCAAGCCTCTTGGTCTCGGCAGTGGCCAGTTGGGTACAGATTGTCTGGCCGTCTAAGAGCTTCTTCTGGAATCCCACGGAACACATCTGGGTCCCTTTGGACCAAACATCATGAAAGCATACCATGCTTTTCCCCCTGTTCTCTGGGAACCCATGGGCTCGCAGAAGCTGCACGATGGTGTCAACCTTGGAGTTGACTGGGGCTGTGGAACCCATCACAGCCTCCACTTCCTGGACAACCTTGTCTGGCACTCCGGCCATGGCGAGTGGTGCAGGCCAAAGTGGCGAAGCCGCAACTGGGCAGTCTGGGGCCAAAGCCTACATAGAAGGGAGAAACTTGAAGTGTGCACAAATCCTCCCTCTTACTCTCATGGGCATGAGGGACGAACTCGCACTGCCGCTTTTTTTGAAACCCAAGCGGTCGCAGCTGCAGCGGTCGGCAGGCTACTGGCTCTTCTTGGCCCTCTTCCTCTTGGGCCCTGACTCCATGTGGGCTTGCAAAGCAGCAACATTGGCCCGAATATGGTCCACGATGGCGCAGAGAATGTTGGAATCCAGTGGGACTGCTATATCCGCAGCTTTGGGACGGCTCTTGTCAGGAGGGATGAGACATGGCACAGTGGTGTTGCCCACATAGATGTTCACCGTCTCTGGCAAGTTCTGGATTTTCCGCCTGCTGGCTTTGGGGCGGTCTTGGTCTTCGAAGAGGTTGTCGCCGTCGCCCTGGTCCTCTTGGCCTCCCATGGCATGATGGCGATCCAGCTGCTCATTTCGCTTCTCGACGAGCTTCTGGAATGGTTCGTAGAATGTCAGAGAAGCCCTGGATGGATTCTTGGCCCCTGTCAAGAATTGGACAATGGGCAGGGAGCTGGCCCTCATTTGGAGATACTTCTGGCCATCTGCTCCTTTGTGGATGAGGTACTCTGGAATGGTCACAAATGGCTCGTTCTGGTATTTCAGAATCACCTGCGAGTCGACGGTGACCATGGCTTCTAGGAAGAAGGGGCACAGTGGATTCGTTCGCTTGAGCTTGGAAACCTCGCCAAGAAAAAATGGATTCTCACAACACACCTGGCATGTTCCTGTCTGAATGTCAACTTCCAAGCCACGTGGCGGTCTGGCACTTCCAGGCCAACATGATTTCGGGCTGAGAAATACATTGGCTTGGTCTTTGGTTTTGGCATGGTTAGGAAGCTCATGCCCAAACCTGCCCTTGGAGTTCCAACAAAATCTCTCCACGTTCGCTCAAAAAAACTTCGCAAAAAGTTGGGCGCATGCAGAAATATATGTATACAGAAAGCTTTTCGTGCTGGCCACAAAAGCAAGTCTACTGTTCCGAAAAAGCCATTACTGTTCTCCAGAAATGCCATGTAAACATGTAGAAAAACGTTTCGTGCTGGCCACAAAAGCAAGTCTACTGTTCCGAAAAAGCCATTACTGTTCTCCAGAAATGCCATGTAAACATGTAGAAAAACGCATATGTAAAACCTTAGTTAAAAAGTTAAAAAAATAACAACTAGTTAGCGGACTTAACTTACTTAGCTAAAAAACTAATTTTATTACATAACATGACATAACACATCTCATCTTTTAACCATAGTTCTACAGACTTAATACATACTTAGTATAGTATTAACATACACTTATAACCATTTCGTAACACACTTATATTCCACCCTATCTTGCCTATGTCCTTATAACGCAGCGAGGATTCCAAGTAGCGCATGTCGCCGGCTCGCGTCGTCCAGAGCAAGACGTGACGTGCGGCGAGCCACTGCATCTCTTCAGGACAAGAAACCAAGGCTGCGAAGTGTGGCCGCTCGGCGCTGTTGGCCAGGCCGCCCGATACGGCAAGCCGTGGCTCCGTCTGCGCGTCTTGCTGCTCGGCCGCTGCGTGCTTATCCTGCGCGCCTGCCGGCTCGGGGCCGCCCAAAGCGGCAAGCCGCGAGCCTGCTGACACAGCGGGGCCGCCCGAGGCGGCAAGTCCCGCGTCGGCTGCTGTGCGCGTGTCCTGCGCGTCTGCCCGTTCGGGGCCGCCCGAAGCGGCAAGCCGCGAACCAGGTGACGCAGCGGGGCCGCCCGCGGTGGCAGGCCCCGCGTCGGCAACCACGGCTGGCTGCTCGTGCTCCGGCACGCACGCTGAGACGGGTGTCTCTGCGACCCTGTGCGGTCGCTGGCGGTTGTGCTTCATGTACCGCTTTCGCAGCCACCGCGGACACTTGGACGAGCACACGAAGTCCTGCAACTGCTGCACTGCCTCGGCCTCCGCCAGATGCATGGGATCCTCCGCGGCGCCGGAAAAGGGGCGGTGGAGACGCAAGCACAAGCGCGCCATGGCTGCAGCGTCCCGACGCCGCGCGTCCAACTGCAAGAGCGGCTTTTCCTTCACGATGCACGGCTTGCGGCGGAGCGACATGCGCTGCAAATCTTCCGCGCGCAGTGCCTCGTCCCGCTTGCCGCGCATGCGGCTCATGTAGTTTTCGACCTTGCTAGGCCGTAGAGCAGACTCCTCCTGATTGGAGCGCTCTATCTCGGAGATGTCTCTGAAGGACTGGGTGTCCTTCGCGTTGAGCGCCATGACTTGGCGCGACGAGAGCACGCGCGGCAAATCCAGCAGCACGCGCCATGCCTCCAAGGAGGAGATCTCCTGCGGCACTGCGGCGTGGATGAAAAGCCTCGACAAGAGCGATGCCACGGTCATCTCTTGGTCATCTGGCATCTTGCAGATGATTTCGTCGATGTACGACGACATTTTTGAGGCCGCAGACTGCCCGCCACCCAGCTTGCCGATGTACTTTGTCAAGTAGTTGACGGCAGCTTGCACCGTCAGAACCACCTGATCATCCACGTTAGCCACCAGACCCATCGCCTTCAGTGGGTCGTGCGTGTTCAGGTGGTGGCAGTTGCGCCGGCCGTACAATCGGTACAAGCCCTTGCGTCGGCCGTCCTCCATGACGGCGCCTGTGCCAGGCAGCATGCGCGCCTTCTCGTAGTCTTTACCGCAGTACACGTGGGACCGACTTTGCTTGGCGCAGCTTTCCTTGTCGCCTGGTTGGCGGGCGACCTCTCGACCCAGGCCGGGTCTGCACACGATGAGGTTTTCCTCCCACTCGCGCGTGGCGACGTGGCCCGGCAAGCAAGTCATGGTTGCTGTCACCGCAGCGTGGTCGGACAGCCCCTGCATGATGAAGCAGCTGGCAAAATCTCGCGGCTGCAGCTCAAGGGTGTCGCGCGACGCTGGCCCAGGTCCGGCCTCGCTCGTGCCGCCCGAAACGGCAAGCCCGAGTTGGCGGGACGCCGGCCCGACAGGTGCGCGCACACTGTCTCCTAGGCCGCCCGAAACGGCAAGCCGAGAACTGCTGACACTGTTGCTCGCATCTACATCAGCGAGCGTAGAACTTTGCGCGGCGGGCCGCCTCAGCCAGAGAACGCGGTCAAAGCGCCACACTGCGTCCGCATGCGCCGGGACGTCAACGTCCAAAGGCTCCCAAGTGGATGCAAAGTAGGGCTGCCGGCGACTTCGTGGGCGTCCAGCCAGCCGCCCCGTGGCAAGCGCTCGCCTGCATGCGTGTTCAAGTCGCCTGCGAAGATGCAAGCATCCACGTCCAGCGCTTCCAAGCCGGCCAAGCATGCTGACAGCTCGCGCTGGCGCGCGGCCGCGGCGGCTCTGGACGCGGCAAGGTGCGCTGTGGCAGCGCACAGCACAGCGCCGTTGGCCGCTAGCTGCACGAGCACGTGTAGCATGAACCTGCTGTTGGGCCCGGCGACGGGCGACACGCATGCCCGCATCACTTGGCCGAAGTCGAGGCGGCAGAGAACGCACACGTCGAACCCTTCCTCGCTGCAGCGACCCCTGTGCAACGGGCTGCTAACTGCGAAGCCGCTGGCCGCAGCTAAGGCATGCAAGGCGCTCAAGCACGATGGAGTGACCTCCTGTAGACAAACAAGGTCCATCTCGGGCAACACGGCAGCAAAGTCATCGTCAGGGCTATGCTGGTTCATGTTGAAAGTCGTAATGCGCACCTTGGCTGCCACGTCGACTTGCACGTCGACGACCGGACGGGTCGCGTCGCCCTCTGCCTCTGGCGGGCCCTGAGCCAGAAGCGGCGGCACTTCCACCGGCGGTCCGTCGTGACGGTCGTGCAGGTTGCACGCGTCCGTCAGCCGACGGTACCACTTTCTGCGCGCGGCGCGCACCAGCTGACAGTTGTTGGTCATCAGGAGCGCCTTGGCCGCCACGGCGATGGCACACGGATGCCACATTTGGTCCACCAGGCAGGCGTCGAGCTCACACAAGATGGCCCTGTCCGCAGCCGTGAGCCGACAAACCAAGCGCTGTCCGGCGTCGTCCAGCTGATAACACAAAGTGCGGGGTGTGGGAAACAAAGAGACAAGTCCTCATCAGGCGCCAAACGCTGCTGCGCGGCCCGAAGCGGCACGCGCGTTTCTTTGGCTGGCTCCATGTCGGCGGAGCCGTCGGACTCTGAGTCAGTGTGCAGCGGAGAACCCACGAATCCCCGGCGCGTCACTCGCGCCCGCTTGCGGTCCATTACCGCATGCTGCCACTTTTCAGCTTTGCCCAAGCTCCAATCAGTCAAGTGCTCCTCGTGCGCCCGCGCAAACTGGGCGGCAGTTTTCACGCCGTCTGCGTCCAAGTCTTGCGCGGAGAAGCGCGCTGGGTCCACGCGGGGCATCTTGCTGCCGAAGTTAATGGAGTGCAGATGCATGATGCCGCCTGCGCCCCACTCAAAAATGCCTTGGCCGTCCTCGTACTGAAGCACGTGCTGGTAAAAGAGCTCCATCTTGTACGCAGTGTACCACGCAACGACACCGGGATACTTCAAAACCAAGCGCTTGCTCTCAGGAAGCCGAGCCATGGCCGGCTCTACCGGGTCTGCGCGTCCTTGCCGACGCTGGGTGACCGCAGCGTCGTATTTCCTCAAGCACGCACGCACGTCTTGCCAGTGATAGATGGCTGTCGTTAAGGTCGTAAAGTGACACGGAATCTCACCTCCGACCTTGCATCGCTGCAAAAGCACTTGCAGTCTTTCGGCCAGCTCTCTTACGTCGTGCGCAGGGCCGCCCGAAGCGGCAAGCCCCGTGTCCGCGCGGACGGCAGTTTGCTTGCGGTCGACGCCCTCCGAAGCGAGAAGCGGCGACTCCCCGAGGTCGCGCGCGGGGCCGCCCGAGGCGGCAAGCCCCGTGTCCTCGCGGCCGGCAGACAGCTGTCGGCCGACGCCCTCCGAAACGAGAAGCGGCGACGCGTCCGGCGCTGCGCTGGCTTGACCAGGCACTTTCATAGTATCATGGAAGCGCTGGCAATCCAGCAAAGACTGCCTCAACTCGCCGGCGGCCGCGGTGTGGGGCTGGTCTCCGGCGCCACATGCCTGGGCAGCCGTCTGTGCTGTCTCTTCCAGCTCCTGCACTTGGAACTCGAACGGGTCTTGTTCGATCTGCTCCACCATGGCTTCCAAGTCGGAGCGCTGATGGATTTTCTCCTGCGCGGAGCACGGCAGCGAGTGCTCGAAGGCGGTCACGATCTTCGTGAACTGCGCCTTGCCCATCCTCAAGAGCTCCTCGTTGGTGTGCGGCACGTTGGCGTTCATGCCAGTCTGCCGCTTCACAAAGTAGCTGCGAGACCGCAGCGCCTTGCTGCGCAAGGCCGTATTCAGCGCAAAGAAGTTAAAGCGCGGGTGCGCTTGAAACCGGCCATCCGCATGCAGCAGCAAATGCTGCAGCCACTCCCAGAAAGACAGAGGGACGCCGGCCTGCTGCCTGGCCCGCACGTGGGCCCAGTAGTCCCCTTGTCCTAAGGGGAAAAGCTTAATGAAGCCGGCGGCAATGTAGTAAGGCTGATCTTCTCTGATCAGCTGGTTCCGGGACTGCACCGTCGGTGGGTCCAGGATCGGGAGCCCCGGGATGCGTGCGCCGCCAAAGCGAGCGGCCGTGCGCATCTGCGGCGCAGATGCATTCGCGCTT